CTACCTCTATTTTTTTTATTTTGTATCCAAATTCAACTCAACTGATCATGTTATATTTTATTTTTAACAAGAGAGTGACTGTCTGAAATGTGTGAATCATGTAAGAAAAATGCACGGTCTTTACCAGCCCAAGGAAGGATGGTTCCAAAATATACTCCAGAACTCCGGGCTAGTCGGTCTTTGTGCTACATGGTACACCAACATCATCCACACAAGCAGGTTGCATTTACTAAGAGGTGACACAATGAGACTTCATATTTCTATATGCCCATTGGTGAGATGACTATTACGCTAGATGATGTAGCATGCCTCATACACCTTCCCATCAAAGGAAGGTTGCTTGATTATTCTAAGATCAGTAGGGCTAAGGCACAACAGATGATGGAGGTTTATTTGAGAGTTGACCCTGGAGAAGCATTTAAGCAAGGTAGAAGCACCAGGGGTGCACATGCCAAGTTTGCTTGATTGTCGGACATGTGTAGCAAAAATTTAGAGATAAACGATCTCTCAGACGCTGATGATCTATGGATTACCTACCACAGTGAGAATACCCTGAGGTTCTACTTCCTATTCTTGGTTGACGCGGTCACACTAGCATAATCTATTATTTCCAAGGCACAGAGTGCCATGGCTTACCGTAGGCAGAGGAGGAACCAGAGTGCTAGTATTAGGCATACATAATAGAGTATGCATTTGATTGTATTTTTTTAAATTTTAATCGACTTTGTGAATAATTGTTGTACTTTTGTATTCAGTTTCTATGATATTCGATTTTATTAAAGTTTTACACGGTTATATAATATTCATTTTTATTATTCATTGAAACAAATAATGACAAATTTAATCGAATAGAAATGAGTTTCGATTGAAAACACCATAAACTTAGAAAACATATTCTTTCAAAAATCACCGAGGAAACAATTCAGTGATGCATCTCTGAATTATGCCCGCACATGATTCACATATGCATCTCCGAACCAATTTTATTGAGAAATAGGGGGTTGTTTGATTTTCTAAGGTCGAATTGGCACTTCGGAGTTGCAAATCCGAATTTACCTTTGAGTTTAGTTCAGAGATGCATCTCCAAACTATATTTTTAAAAATTGGTATTTGGTGCGTTCGGAGATGCATCTCTGAATTCATCCAGGGACATTTTTGAAATTTCAGAGGTGCGCTCCATATAGCAAGGGTGAGATGAGAAATTACCTCGTTAATATTCTTGAGCGTGTATGCTATTGGGCCTATGGTACCTTCCTGCTTCAAGTTATAGTTAATGAAGGAGAAATTATAGGGAAATTCTTAAAGCTCCCTATATACCCAAAAAACACCATGTGTAATTCTCAAAAGTCCCTCAATTTACAGAGATATATCTCCTGATGCATCCTCTTTTGTTTAACGTCACTTTTTTTCAGAGATACATATCCTTAAATTTCTCGGAGATGTATTTCCAAAATTTATGCAGACAATAACACCGTTTATTTTGTGAGTGATTCTCATATCAAAACTACAAAATGTAAAACATTAAAACATTTTCTAGAATTCGACTATGAAGAAAATGACACACACACACACACACACACACACACACACACATATATATATATATATAAATATATATATATATATATATATATATATATATATATATATATATATATATATATATATACATATATATATATATATATATATATATATATATATATATATATATATATATATACATATATATATATATATATATATATATATATATATATATATATATATATATATATATATATATATATATAAGTCAAGACTATAAAATGTATCAAGAGTTACACTGAAGTCAATCAACAAAATATAATCCAAAATATATCAAGTGTACAAATATAATAATCTACTGCGCATGTCGAAATATGAGTCATCCTCGCCCCTGTCTCCCCACGTTCCTACACTACCTCCTGTATTGCAGAGCCTCCCAAGCCTCCGCCATCATGGCATCTCTAACACCCCTCGCCCCAGAGCCATCTAGAAAGAGTCTTCCATCAATACTCGTCTTCCCAATCTCCATGATATGACGACACCTAGGCAAGACTTCATAAGTATAATCTACCCTAGCATACTCCTCCCCTAGTATCTTCTGATGAGCTGGTCTAAGTGGGTCTCCTGGAGCATCATGTATCATATATGGATGTGACATCCAAAAGAACCACTAGATGTAACCGTCTATGTAGCTCCATTTATAAAGTGATATGGTACTTTATGCCTCATTTGTTACCAGATGATTAACATAATCATCAAACATGGCATCCATATCTCTATGTTTCACAAGGGGATGAGCAAACGTAGCAAGACCTCTGGGAATATATTGCATGTAGCTGAATTGACGTATGACACGCTCAGGAAGATGAGGAGCTGTCAGACGCGACCTGCAAGTCAACCATCCCGGGTATAAGAAAATTTCATCAAATGAAATCGTCGCACTGTGATCGACGTATGTATAGAAGTGTATATCCTCAAAGACCAAGCAATCAATATACACCATGAATGGCTATGTCGCCTAGTTCCTTATGAGCGGGGCGAATGCAGAAGCACACGACTTATCCTTAGTATAAGTCGGTTCAAGTGGCCAACTGAAGATTTGTGAGAAGTGTTGTAGGATTCAGGCCTGAAAACAAGAATCATTAGTTAGTAACAGCATTGCAATAATTAACAAAATGGCAGACAATCCATATAAGACCAAGAAATGTTACCGTCAAAATTTGTGTTAAACTGACTCCTAATGCTTGTTAAATTATTGTGAACCATATTTCTTTTTCACATACTAATATCTAATCATTCATTTCTATTCCACAACAAATTTAGATTTCAAAACTTGCATGTGCATCGCGTTAGAATTACTTTTCAAAAGGTACAATGTTACTTACAAATTAATACTTAGCTTCAAGGAAATTTCAACAACGGTTTGATCAAAGGCGATCCTTTTCAAGAAGCTCCTAATTAGGGGAAAAGCATCTAAGAGGACCCATATAATCAGGGGAAAGTCCTTATGATTAGAGGCATATCATCTGAAGATCCTATTGACCATGAGTAATCACTCTAAGATTCAGTCAGCTTGAGTCACATCTCCAAGCACCAGTTGATAAAAGGCATACCTTTCAAGATTCAGGTACTAGGGGCAATCCATATCAAGGCCATATCACGACATAGTGGTATCCAAGTCCATTCTCAGGACTTTCCCCCAGACCTTAATAATCAAGGCCAAATTCTTTTAGACTCAAATATTGGGGCAGTACATCTCAAGTTCACATCTCATTATGGTGAGATCCAAGTTCCTTCTAAGGATGCTTTCTCTAGACCCTGAAGATAGGGGCATACCTTTCAAGATTCAAATGTTTGGGAAGACCATTGTGAGACTCAGAGACCAGTTCAAAACGGTTCATCAAAGGTGAATCATTCTAAGAGTCCATTAATCAGGGGCATAATGTTTCAAAAGTCAAAATAGTGGGGCCAACCATCTCGAGTGCACAAGATGGCCAAACTAGTTCAAAACACACGTCAAGGTGAATCTCTGGGAAGACCCAACAAATTGGGGAAAGGCATACCATGAAGGGGAAAACTCTCCTCCTACTGTCATGATCCCCAATGAAGCTCTCTCCTACATCAGCAATCTTCGAGTTCGAAACAAGTATCAAAAAATCATGTTAGCATGACACCCTACCATCATGTGACAAGTAACCTTGTTACATAAGCAACATCTCCAAGCCTTAACCATTCACGAACCATCACATGGGCATCATTCGAAAGCATCCAAGTCATCATAAATCATTTTCATGCAATCATTAAGCCGTTTCCCTCTAGCATAAAACCATGCATATCACCTCTTTCATATGACATAGCATGAACCTAACATCTTCAAAAGTCCAATTACTCATTGGAAATTCAAAGTCCAACATTCATTGATACATATCTAAGTTACTCATTGCATACATTGGCTAATCATTACATTTCATGCATCAAACAAAATGCACGTCAAAATAATCATAAATCATAACGCATCCAATCACCTGATTTTCGTTTCCCGGTAACCTTACTGATGCCAGTAACCTTACTGATTATTCATTTTCCAGTCACCTGATTAACATTTTTTGGTAACCTTACCGATTCCAGTAACCTTACCGAGTGTTCATTTTTCAATCACCTGATTGGGGTTTTCCGGTAACCTTACTGATGCCGGTAACCTTACTGTTGTTCATTTTTCCAATTTCAGTTAGAAGGGCCTGCATTGTTGAGGCGATGCAGACATTTTTTCTGCATATGAGGTTGTTGACAGATATCGCATCATCTTTTTATTTTTTCAACAGTGTACATTTCAGTTCTAATGCGAGTACTGTTTTGGCGACCTTTTTTGTTTCGTCGCATCCTTTCATCATGCATAAGAGTATCGCCCAAATATGGAGGCCAACTATCTTCTTGGGGAACACCGAGGAAACTTTGTATGTAAACTTTGAAGATGTTTATAACTCTATACAAGTCAGGAATAAATGTAGTATAGTCGTGGTTAATGTGAGAACACACTGCGATAGCATGTGAGCAAGGCAGATGAAAAGTTTGAAATCTCCCACAGTCACAAGTTCGTGTTTGGAGGTTGACGTTGAAATGGGTAAGTGGCCGACAATTCCTATTATTAACCGTCTCTTGAACCACGAAATAATGACTTTCACGGTCAAAAGCCAAGACATTATAATTGTGGGATTTTTCTACTTCTTCTGCAATTCCTTTCATGCAATTATCTGTGAACTCCTTTCCCGATGACAAATTTTTGGTCCAATCCTTTCCTCGCTTATCCCACAATGTTCCCATCCTGTAGTATGTTGATCTTACAAGTGATGTAATAGGTAGGTTTCGGGTTCCCTTCAAAACTGAGTTCAAAGATTCAGCTAGGTTGGTTGTCATGTGACCCCATCGTGCTCCTCCGTCGTAAGCTCGCGACCATTTTTCTCTTGGAAGATTCTCTATCCAATTAAAAGCCTCTGTGTTTGTTTGGCGGATCTCCTCCCGATAATATGTGTAGGTAGACTCATTAATTGCATACCCTTCATAAAAGCATTAAAACATTAATATAAAAGAACTATATATTGAAATGTCGTGTTAAAAATTAGAGAGTAATTACCCATGTTAACAACTGTCTTGCAAAGGTTTTTGTCTTTGATGGCTCACATGAAGTTTTGTGCGATGTGCCTAATGCAATACACATGCACCGATGGTGGGTTCTGCCAGCCATTATCCGGGTTATTGTAGGCACTCTTAATGGACTCATGTCGATCAGGTATCAAACATAAGTCTGATTGGGGTGTGACGTGGAGTCTCAAATTTTTCAGAAAGAAACTCCAAGCTCCCCCGGTCTCACCTTCGACCAATGCATATGAGATTGGGAAAATGTTACCATTCCCATCTTGTGCAACAACCAGGAGCAATGTTCCCCTATATTTTCCATACATCCATGTACCATCTACCTGCACTATAGGTTTACAATGTGCGAAACCCCTAATACAAGGTTGAAATTCCCAAAAAAGGCGATGGAAAATTCTTGCACCACCAATTTGTGTTCCTTCATTTGAATATACAGTAAGTGTTTCAAGATCTATGACGGTACCTGGGAGAAATTGTTGCATGACTAGCAACCACTGCGGAAGGTTGTTGTAAGAGGCCTCCCAATTACCATAAATATCTTCGGTTGATTTGTTCTTTGCAATCCATGCCTTTTGTAAGACACATTGTAGCCATAACTCGTACGAATATGAGCAACAATATGTCTAACCTTGATTGCCGCGTCGCTGTCAACAAGAGGTCTGATGTTATGGGCGATCATCTTTGAGGTAAGCTTTTTGTGATCTTGAGATATAGCAGTCGACATGCAAGTGTGTGGCCCTCCAATTCTGCCAATAACCCAGTTACCACACCCCTCCCTTAACGAAGCCCTACATGTGAAGTTGCATTCCTCCTTTTTACATTTAATTAAATATCGTGTCGGATCAGACTTACAAACCTTAAAAGTATGAGAATTTTTATGTGATACTCAGATATTGCATGGAGACATGCTTCTTTGTTTTCAAAAGTCATACCAACCTTTAAGTCATCACGTGACTCACGTTCGTGTACGGGTTCGAAGACTGAAATTGGTTCCACACATTCAAATGAAACATTTCTTAAGTGATAGGGTGGGTTGTACAAATCAAGTATAGGAGCCGGTTCTGCCTCCAGTCTGTCATCGTCACCTGACTCGTCACTGGACCCACTAAACAAATTAATTTGTCTGGCATCGTCGGATTCAGTATCATCACCCACTTCCTCTTCTGGAAATATTGGCTCGTTATGTTGTGCTTGGACAGACTCTTCTTGTTGGGAGACCTGACTTTGTTGATATGCATGAGTTTGTGATGATTGTGTTGGAAATACTTCATGCATTTGTTGAAAACAAATATAAAACTCCATTGCTTGTTGACTGCAAAACCTTGAGTGGCATTGAAGCATTGAACGAACATCCTCATCGTCTTCGATTTTTGCAGTGTTGTATGTGACATTGTGATCAACTGGATTAACTATTGGAAATTGATAAAAAATAGAAGTTACATGTTGTCGTAAAGTTTCTTCTATTTTTTCCGTCAACTGAGCTAAATCACTATTTCGATGAATATTTAAAATATGTGTATCTGTATTTTGAAATACCACTCCAATAATTTCATCGGTAAAAATATTACCATTGAAATGTAACAGACAAGAAATATGATTTTGTGGCATTGTGTTTGATGTAATGTTCAATTGTTTGGATATGTGATAGCTTGGTTTGTTGAATAAGATACAACTATGTTGAATTGTATTTCATGCATGTATTAATAAACAAACAACAATTCGTTGGATTTATTATACTGTCGCCAAGTCAAATGGCGTGATGCTTTGGTTCTTGTACACTTGCGCCATCTCAAATGGCGTGAGCCCTTGGAGGCGCCATTTCAAATGGCGTGAAGCCCCTAGTTCCACCAAGTCAAATGGCGTGAACCCTAGGGTTGCTCCAATTCAAATGGCGTGAAGCCTATGTGTATGGAGTGAAGATGTCATATGTGCCATGCATATAAGAGCTACATTAAACGATTATGTTATCAGATTAAAATGAGTCTGATACTCTGCTCAGTATACATTATTCCGTATAATTCACAGGTTGTTATGTTTGATTATAGAAATGCATTTTCTAATCCTTTGGTTGTGCGGCTTATGGAAAGATCTAAACTAATTCATTTGAAAAATCAATTACGTCAAGTCACAAATATTAATAGGAGCATTATAGAGATATCTTTCAACCGGACTACCATCAACGAAAATGGAGTCTTGATGCAGCATATTATAAAGTTAGTTACAAATACAGATGTATTTAACATGTTTGAGGATTTTCGAATTGGTGTTAATAAAACACCATTTGAGTTGTACGTCAGATTCAGTAGATCAGCCGATGAGGTTTTATCATTGTGTACAAAACCGTGTAATTTACAATATTCGTAATAAATTATAAATTTATATTTATCCAACTTTCATTAAATTACTCTACTACCTACCAACTCTAATTAAATTACTCTACTACCTATTAACCATAATTAATTAAATTATTCAACTACCAACCAACCACACTCACCTCTTTTTTCCTATAAATACTCAATCACTCTCACCTCATTTCTCCACAAACACACTTCATTCTATTCACACTCTCTACTCTCTTTTGATAAGTATTCTCTTCTCTCTTTTCATAAGTTTTCAATTAGTTCTTCATTTTCACAATTATGACCAATATGTTTTGGTATGGTACACAACATAGAGGAACTGTAGAAAATATCAATGTTGTAAGTATTTTTGATTTATTCAACTTTATTCATATTATTTATTTTTGAGTTTACAATAGTAGTTTTATTCATAATTTGTATAGAAATATTGAATATTTTTCTATATTACTTATTTCTATTACAGATTGATGATAATTATATTTCAAAATGGAGAATCTATGCTCACAAACCTCTAAAGCCACATGCAACCATAATCCCGTACCTTCACCAATCTGGGTTCTACCATGTATCTACAATAGGGTCAACACACATCGATTCAAGGTTAATTATAGCCTTACTGGAACGGTGGAGACCCGAAACTCATACATTTCATCTTCCAAACGGTGAATGCACAATTACATTAAAAGATGTGAGTATGTTATTGGGGCTTCCTGTAGATGGAAAAGCGGTAAATGGTCAATCTGAGCTAGGTGATGGTGCATGGAGTTCTATTTTAGGGGATGAACCACCACAAAGTGATAAGGGAATGACTGTGAGGTTGACATGGCTTAAAGACATGTACCAACATGAACCACCAACCGAGGAGTCACCCGAGGAGTATAAAATTAAACATGCTCGTATTTATATCTTACTCCTTATCGGGCAAGTTTTATTTCCCAACAAAAGCGGTAATACTATACACTTAAAATGGACACAATTTGTTGTGGATTTAGAAGATTGTGGAAAATTGAGTTGGGGTTCCGCCGTTTTAGCGAATCTATATAGGGAAATGTGCACGTCGGTAGACATAAAAGTAACAGAGATGTCAGGATGCGTTTTACTTCTTCAAGCTTGGGATTTTACACGCATGCCTATAATATCTCTGGTGGTTCCGCTTCAATCTCCATATCCTTACGCAAGAAGGTAATATTTTATTTTAAATTTAAAATTATAATTAGTATTGTTAGGATACTTTAAAATAAAATTTAATTTTAAATTCTTTTTAGGTGGTGCATCAAGAAACTTGACTACCAAAACAACCCGCGCCACCATCTACAAGGATACCGATTCAGGATTGATCACATGCTTCAAGATCAGGTTTTTTTGTCTTCGCCTTAATATTTCTTATAAATTTTTGAATTTTATTTTGGTTAAACTAAAAAATTTTATGTACAACTTCTCAGTTTATTTGGAGGCCGTATCTTGGGTTAGCGCCCCAAAGGCACGAAGACAGTTTGATATGGAGTTCAACTACGTATATAATATGCTTTCATATTGTAGAAATGCATCAAGCTGATAGGGTCAAACTACAATTTGGCCATTTACAAGGGATACCTGAAGAAGCTCGATGCTTGGCTGAACACCATAAGATGACAACAATAAAAGTGCGCCAAAAAGCATATACCACATTATACTCTGATGAACAAAACTGTTGGTTGTATCGAGAATTGTTTACGTTGGATGGAGATCAATTACAAACAGAGGAGAAACCGTCAAATGAGTACATGCAATGGTATCACTCGCTTCCACATAGATATACATCGTACGAACAATTTCTCACTGACCCTCGTCAAAATCAATATGCCCCTACTCAGGCAAGTGGCTCTCAACAAACTCACCACTCACAACATTCTCAACCTCCTCAACCCCAATCCTTCCAACAACAAACTCCTCACTTTTCCCAACATCAAACACCCATCCCCATTATCCTGAACAACAAACTTCTAACCCTCATTTTTCTCAACTACAAACTCTTGCCCCTTATTTTTACCAAAATCAAACTTTTAACACCCAATACCCGCAATCTCACTCCCAACCAAATTACATTTATGAATCCCAACAACCACAATTTTATAATAGGCCAACTACACAATTCACACCCATCATGCGGCCAAACTTCGATTCCTCCTCCTCCCAACATAACCCGCCTTATTTTCCAACCATGTGTCCGCCACAACAGCCGCAAAATAATTTTGGCGAGGATCTTAACGTCAGTGATTATGATTTACTGCAAAGTATTTGGTCTCCTCCACAAGCTACCGCTTCTAGTCAAGAAAATCCTCCAACATCAGATGCAACACAACAAAATCCTCCAACAACAGAGACCGAACAACCATATGGTTTTGGTCATGGTGCTCCGCGACCGCGTTATTGTTTTATCGTTTTGGACCGGGTCATCAGCATTAAATAGTGTAATTGTGAATTTTTAACAGTTTTATTTTATTTTGCATTTTGATTGTAAGTGTGATATTTTATTTATTTAATAAAAAAAATTATTATCATATTGTAATTGTTAAATATTTATTTGAAGTATTAATTTATTATCATATTGTAATTGTTAAAAATATAAACATAAAAATAATAAAATTTATTTAATAAAAAGTATTTGTAATTAATGTAAATATTAAATAATTAAAATAAATAATTAAAAAGTCAGAAAACGAAAAAAAAAATATAAAGGCATTTCACGCCATTTGATTTGGCGTGAGCCCTTCCTGCTCACCTTCGCGCCATCTCAAATGGCGTGAACCCCCTAACTGTGGCATCTTAAGAATTTTTTTTCAGAGCGTGACATTTTGTGAATTTTGTTTCATGAGCGTGGCATGTAGAGGAAAAATTCATTAACAATACCATTGTTACACTCATTCCGAAGCACCCTAATTCTACTAAGGTTAGTGAGTACATACCTATCTCGTGTTGTACCACCATTTACAAAATTATCTCCAAGATTATGACTAGTTGGCTGAGCAAGGTTCTCGGTAGTACTATTGATGTTAGCCAGACAGCTTTTGTTCCTGGGCTCAACATTCACGACCATATCCTCTTGTCTTTTGAGCTTCTGAAAGACTACACAAGAAGAATGGTTCTCCCAAATGCATATTGCAAATGGATCTTAAGAAGGACTACAATACGGTTGAGTGGCGTGGTCTTGAAAGAATTCTTAGAGAGTTAAGTTTCCCTTCCCTTTTTGTCAGATGGATAAGCTTGTAGTAACCACTGTATCTTATCAATACAAAGTGAATGGCAACTACACTAGAGTCCTTGAGGCCTAAAGGTAATTATATCTTTGTTTGGCTATGATGTTGAAAAGCTGAGTGTTGATGAATGTATGCTTTTGGTGGAAAGAATTATGTATGGTTCAGCTGCGAGGCCTATGGCTATTTTTGTGTTTTGGATGGTTTGTCAGGATCGGATGGCAACTAAGGAAAGGATGCACAAACTTGGTTTCATTGATATTAGCTGTTGTATCTTCTGCAAGAAGATTGAGACTCTGCAGCATCTTATGTTTTACTGTGACACCATGAAAGAAATCTAGAATTGTGTGTTGCGCTGGCTAAATGTTAGGCATGACCCGAATGGGTGGACTGAAGAACTTAAGTGGGTAATCTACCAAAGTAAAGTTAAAGGGGTGAAGGCTGTTTTCCTTAAAACTGCTTTTGCTGAAACAGTGTATGAAGGTTGGAGGCTCCGCAACGAGAAATATTGGCCCCAAAATTATGGATATTATTGTTTATAGGTGTTGGCAAAGAACTTAGATTAGGAAGGTGCTTAGTAGCCTTATGATGCCTTAGCCAGTTAGGTTTTGTGCTGGCTGGATCATTATGGATGATTGTGTTTGTATTGTTTTTGGAATCAATAAAAAATTTCATTTGTTTAAAATTTTTTTTTTTTTGTATTTTTAGATTTCTTAACTTGTGCTTTTAGGGAACAAGTTGGAAATACTTATTTAACAATTAATCCTAAATTTTCATCCAAATTATTGTTTATCTAAAGTATAATAGAATGATAATTTTTAAATCATACTTTGACAAGGTTTTATATTTATTCATATTCATGGTATGATTTTCAATTTCAATACACAATTTCTCATGGTTCTTTTTTTTAGTTCAAAAAAAGATATGTACATGTTGTTAATAATTTAATTGTAATAATAATATAATTTATTTTTTGAAAAAGGCAGACAAGTGAGATTTTTATTTATAAACTAAAGTTTAAAAAGGTAGATGATGACATATAATTACATTGTTTATTCGACTCGATATGTGTATATTTTATGTTCATTTTATTTTATAATTCTTCTTTTATGTTGGCATTTGTGTGTGTTTCAGGTATTTTACCATTTAGGAGTCATACACAAAGAAACATAGCAAACAAGACGAAAACGAAAGAAAATGGAGTACTCTGCACTCATGGCGACCACCATGGCATTCACCATGCAGGTGGCCACGAGTGGTCCATATTTCTGGGGTCAAAAGACTAAGTCCAGTCCACTTTGAGAGCATGGCGTTCACCATGGAGGTGTGGCAGTGACCACACTGTGAAAACACGTTGCAGTTGAATTGGGCCTGACCAAGTCTTCTCACTCCTTCAGCCTCAACCACCCTTTTAAGATTCTATTTTTGTTATAAATAGGTCATTTGGTAGAACTTTTGAGGTATCCAACCTTAGCAGAACTCTAGACATAAATTACTGATTAAAAGCTATAAATCGTCACATCGAGGGGTTATAGCATTGTTCAAGATTTTGTTGCTGTGGAGATTGAGCACTTTTATTTGAAGCATTTTATCTTCCCGCTATTTACATTCAACCTAAGTTTTATTTCAAGTTATTTCCAATTGTACCTAATTAAAGTCTCTTCGGAGCAGGTGTTTATTCAATTGTATTTTCTTTGCTTTGTCATCTCTTTATTTTACCGCATATCCATCTTCTACCTTTCTTTTAAATATTTTACGATTACTATGTTTTATCACATAATCGAATAAATTGTTTTAATTTATGTTATAATTATGTCTAATTAAATTTATAAGTGTTGGAATGCGAGGACTGTCGATTTGACGGTACTCTATATGGTTGTTCTTTGAGAAAATATATTGGGCCTTTTTTGGTTTTAATAACAACTTTTTTAAACTTAAAATCGTTTGTTACTACGAAAGTAGAACCATTTATATTTCAGGTAAGATCGAAGCCGTCTGATAAAAAAAATTAAGGTTGTTTTGTTTTTAATTGATAAAAACTGCGAAAGCCATTTGTTAATTAATTAGGAAAATTGATATTCTAATAAAGTACTTTTAAACCTATTTTCGAACACGTTTATGAGTTTAAGGTATGGTTTGCCGATGCGGCCATCGGGAACCTTTTAAAGTATTATTTTCCAATCAAAATCACTTTTCAACTAAATAAAGAATCAAATTTATTAAAATAGGTTTTATTTATTTTACGCAATATGTGCTACCACCGTGACAATGGATGGTATAATTTAGAGAATAAAATTTGGTTCTTAATACGCGAAAACGACAGTTCCTGTTCAATTATTTCTTTTCAAAGTAGAAAATATTGTCCCATAGAAATTCAATTTATGAACGCTAAGAGTATCAACGAATTGATGAGATCCATATTCCAACATTTCTTTTCTGATATTAATTTAAGCCTTTTATTTACTTTATTTGCACAACTCCAAACCTTATTTTATCAGCCTTAGATAAACACCCTAACGATAGAAAATCATATTACTACTATTAGGTCTCTCTGGGTTTGACACTCTTTATATTATCCTGATATTTTCTCGCACTTGCGAAATACCACATCAAGTTTTTTTGCGCCGTTGTCGGAACCAATTACGTCAAATATCGTAACTCCGTTGTTACACCGTTTAGATTAAGGCACACTTCCATGGATCATTCAAATTTTTCCTACAATTGTCACTAAAGGTATTTCGAGGGACCCCATGAGATACATCGCTTCAAAGAGAGGCGCTATATTATTTGGATGCTTGATTACCTCATTGGCCCGTGCAATAGATCTTGACGCACATCTTGATAACTTAGATCCTCTGCTGCCCCACACTCTTGATATTGACCGTGTCATAATCATTTGGTTTTGTAGAAATCGAAAAGAGGGTGGGCACCACCTTATGATTCACAACGAAGTTGTTAAAATCATTGTTTTTTCATGGCCTTCACGTAATGATATGCGGGTAAGGGTCAATTGGACTTATAATATTAATGCTCCTGAATATACTGGCCCATTACATGCGGTAGTTCCTGCTAATGCATAAGAAGGTAATGATACTGATGAGGAGCTTCATAGGCAGGAACATGTTTCACCAGCCCGTCATTCTCCACCAGCATATTTTTCAGATGCAGGCACTACATAACATGTTTCTGACCATTTTATAGGTACCAGTTTGGGACATTGTACCCAGGCTAAAGATATCCCCCAAGATGTGAATTATGCCATGCAATATAGAAAGAAGCATGAGATGTGGGCATATATGCGAGAGTCACATGCTCAGACTTAGAGATTCATACAGTAGTTGCTACATGCCCAGCTTACACAGGATGCTAGTACCCAGTGCCAACAGGCTGCGATCGAGCGTCTGACATCCCCTAACCAGCTCACACAGACCAACCAGGCATCCATCATGGGCCAGATTCAACACCTGAGGGAATCAAATGCCTCACTGACGACATAAATAGAACGAATTTACTTAAACCGGGTTTCCCGATGCAGAAGTAGAAGTAGGAGCTATCGGCAGAGACATGATCCTGGTCAGGGGAGTGGTGGCCTAACAGGCCCGCAGTAGAGCACACCATGTTCTTTCTTCGCTTTCTAACCTTTGATTGAAACATTGAGGATAATGTTTTATTTAAGTGTGGGAGGGGAACTTTACTTGACTTCTAGTTAGATTTCTTATTTTCTTTATTGCCTTCTAGTTTTTCTTTTGTTTGTTTTTATCGTTTTATCTAGTTGTTGCATGTGATGTCGAGTCTTGATATGTGTTTTTGTTGTTCATCATATATTTCCCCTTTCTTGAGCCATAACAAATTTTTTTGCAAATATAAACATTGTTTGTTTTTAATTTATGGGCTATTAGACAAGTTTAGGAAAGGTTTTGGAGACTTGGGAAAATTTCCTGAAATATTAGTATCGTTTTAACACTGTAAGTCTCTTAAGTATAAAAATCGATCTGGATAATTATTATGCCTTAGCCATGAATTCTCTCCCAAAAATAATGTCCTTGAGTAGTTTATTTTAGCAGTCGGCTTTGGCTTAAGCATGCACTACGTTAAGAAGTCAATGAATATAAGTGAATGATATTAATTTTCTTCTCTACTATGATTAATTAAAAATAGGGAATGCACCCTCTATGTTAGGGGACCTTCACCCGATCGCTTAACCCAACAGTTATGGAACCTGCAAAAAAAGAGAAAGATATGTTGTTGGTTGGTTCATAGGTTTCTGATGTTGAACATGGCAGGGCAGATTACGGTCTGATCCCCGACAACTATAATAGGATAAGAAAATGGATTAAACCACTTAAAAGTATTAGAATCCCGTGCAAAAAATATCAGAGTCGCTAACTGATCACCTTACTATGAGTATGTACGAATAACATGCTTAATGTAATTGCGCCTGAATGAAAAAGGATATAAAATGGGACGAGTAAGTTAGCATAATAACATGATTCATATTGGTTTTTATATGAGAGAGACTTATGCCTGCAAAAATGCGGAATATCTTATTACGATGCTCTTGTTTTTATGATTTAGTACCTACTGTTATAATTGTGTCCGAAGAAATGTCTTCAAAGACCAAAGTTGCTTTAGTGTCACTGTTTACTTTTATTTTTCTTGAGGACAAGCAATGATTCAAGTGTGGGAAAGTTTGATGACATGTAATTACATTGTTTATTCTATTCGATATGTCCATGTTTTATGGTCATTTTATTTTACATTTCCTCTTTTATGATGGTATTTGTGTGTGTTTCAGGTATTTTACCGTTTAGGAGTGTTACATGAATAAACAGAGCAAAACAGATGAAAAGCGGAAGAAAATGGAGCACTCTGCACTCATGGCGATTACCATGGTGTTCACTATGCAGGTGGCCATGAGTGGTCCACGTTCTGGGGTCAAAAGACCAAGTCCAGCCCACTTTGAGATCATGGCGTTCGC